GCCCCCTCCCCGCCCCTTCTGCCCCTCGACCCGCCCCTGCGTGTCGCGGAAGCAGCGGATGCACAGCAGCGACTTCTTGTCGGCGGAGGACAGGGTAGGGCTCGGCGTGCCGCGCTGCGGGGCGGTTCCATAGTGAGGGCTCCGGCAGCGGCCGCCGGGTCCCCACCCCCCGGACCCCAGCCCTGGGGGCCTCGCTTACTGCACTTCTGGAGCACGTCGCGACTGCGCTGGCCCAGGACCACAATGTCGTGGCGCGCGAACACGCGTGCCTGGTGTGTCTCCTCGCGGCAGCGCGCACACAGGGGCTGCCCGCACGTGTTGCAGAAATACGTGGTCTCCACGCCCTGCTGACACAGCCCGGAACCGAGTGTCACCCGCATCTGTCCCAGCCTGGGGCAGGGAGTGTCACCCGCATCTGTCCCAGCCTGGGGCAGGGATGCGGCTAAACGCAACCTTTTCCTGTCATCCTGACACGACACAGACCGCTCTAATATACCCAGTTTACAGATGAGGACACTGAGGCTCAGAGGATGGGTAAGTAGGTCCAGGAAGGGGCAGATACCCTGCAGGGGCTTGGAGAAGGAGCCCAAGGGTGGGGGCGAGGGCAGACACTGCATTTTCAAACATGTGACCTGCAACCAAAGCAGCGGTGTGGGGGCTTTTTAAGTCTCCAGGCACGCTCAATAAGTGGCCAAGTGTGGTACGCACCTTGGTCATCTGGAGTCACAGCTCAGGGGGTGAGGAAGGGCCGTGAGGCCTTGCAGGTGCCTTTCCCCGGACTGGACCCAGGGCTGAGAGTCCAGGGCTGGGGTATAGCCCTAGCTTTGATCCAAGCAATGGGTGACAGAACAAACCCAATTCCTGACCTTGGCACTCGAGGCCACTTCCTCACTGGTTCTCCCTCCCTCACCTCCTTCCGGGTCCCACATTTCTTGGACTTGTCCAGCACGCTCCCCAGCTTTTACTCCTACAGGGTCATTCGAAATGCCCTCCCCAGGCCGGAGTCCCTCATGCCCTCGACAGCCCAGCAGAAGCCTTACCGCCTGGTCCTTGGCCCTCCAAGACTCAGGGGCAGAAACATCCCTCCCCAGGAGTGTACTGTCCTCACCTCCCGTGGGGCTTTAGCTGTGTATGTGCTGCTTAGGAACCAGAGGGTCCTCAAAGGTCAGTCTAGGCCTGTGGCCTGGACCTCCCTTCCTGTGTCCCTTCACGGGGCCACTCTGAGTTGGGAACCAAAGCTCCACATCCAAAGGCCTTGACCTCTGCTACTGTCTGAGTATTGACTCATCACTGGTTCTGAACTTCAGTCTCCCACCTGTATAATGGGTCTCCACTGGGGTCCGAGGCGTCTTAGGAAGGTGTTGGAGAATCTACTCTGAGGATGTGTTGAGTGCATGCTGCCAGCATCAGACCATGCCACCCGCCCCCACTGCCCCCACCCTGCCCCACTGGGCCTGCCTGTTGTTTGCACTCCAAGTCACAGTTGGCACAGCACACTGTCTCCACGCCGTCCCCCGAGCTGTTCACCAGGAACTGTAGCAGCCGGTCCACTGGCGGGAGCCCACTGGGACCCTTCACCACAGTCTGGTGTCTGCAGAGAAGCAAAGCCAAGCTCCAGACACCCCGTCCTGGAGGCACCTACCACACCCCTCACATTCCAGGCTGGAGCTAAATATAGCCGTGTTGGGAGGTGGGGTGCACACAGCCCCGGGTCTGCTATAAATATCGCAGCCAGTGCTACCCTGACTTGGTTCCTACCCTTGCCCGTCCTGGGCAATCCCTTCTTTCGAAAGCAGAAGACTCCTGTGAGCACTGTCTCCCTGCAATGGGCAAATTTAGGCCCCCTTCGGAACCTTGAGCCCACATGATTGTGGTTATGTTGATCTAAGGCTCCTAGAACCCCCAGGTGAGTTACTGGGGATGTCCTGACCTGAGCTTCAGCCCTGCCCTTATTCCCTGACTTTCCGGCCTCAGTTAAACTAGTCTGCAAAATGGGCGGGAGCCTGCAAGTTCTGGCCCAGAGAGCTACCAGCCTTTCTGCCTGTTGTCGGAGCCCCAGCCCTTCGGCACGTGGGGCCCCTCCTGGCAGAGCCAACCTTGGGGGCCCAGGGTGGGAGGGGCCTCTTGGGATTTGGGTACTCACTGGCACAGCGGGCAGGTAAGGCGGCCATCGGTGGCGCGGCCACGCAAGCAGCCAGCGCAGAAGTCGTGGGAGCAGTCCAGCAGGCACGGGCACTCGTACTGCGCGTGGCACAGCGGGCACACGAGCGGGTGGCCGCTCATGGCGTCCAGGGCCCCCGGGCCCTCCAGGGGCGCAAAGATCGCTCCGGACATCGGCGGGGCAGCTGAGGACG